TATATATATATATGTATATATAAATACACATGCACACACATACAGTATATATATATGTGTGTGTGTGTATTTAAAGCTCACTAAAATGAGTATATGCAATTATATTTAAAAACAATTTTCTGAAACTTTACTTGATAACAAATGTGTTTTAAATTTCAAGGCTTTTTTGAAATAAGCTAATGCACTAAACATAAAAACAGACATCAATGCTTTAATATTCTTTAATCTTATTAATAAATTAAGCCTAAACAGTTCTTAGCTTGTTGCAGTCTTCTGTCAGCCTAAAGTAGAAAAAGGACGTCGAGTAAAAACACTCTTATTCTCAATTATTGCCAAAAATAATAAAAGTGCGAGCTCCATTTCTGGCTCCAATTTTCTCAGCTTTTTCGGGAACGTATCACGTACTTCACGTATCAACGTATCACTATGGTAACGGCCCAGCACGTGGCCACGTAAACATACGTTATCCGTAGGCCAAACCGTCCCAATCCACAGCCGTTTATGCAGCCGACAGGAGCAGCCTACGCTCCACGTCGACTGCTAGCCGACGTCGACCGGTCCATGTCGGCTGAAACCCATGAATTGTGAGTCTCTGTTACAAACTGTGTGTCAAAAGTAGAGACTTCAAACTATACAGCAGTTTTTAAATTGTGTCGATAGGTCAAGAGTTAAGAAAACCAGAGTTACGATAAATCGCATATCTTGCCTTTTTTTTCTGAAAACAGACGTTCTATTTTGAAGCACGTTGCAGCTGAAGGGAGCAGGAAACACGGTAATTTCGTGGAAAAAACACCGCTGTCCATCATCAGTCTCATCTTTCTCTTAAACCGAAACAGTAAAAAACCTACAGGAAGAAGAAAATAAAAAGAGGCTAAATTTGAATGGAGATTGGTGGCAGTGAAGAGCCGGTGACAGCAAACAGATCTGTGAGATTTAACATGTTTGGATTTTATAGTTAGTGTGTAGTTTTGAGTGTTTACTCTTCATTTTAGCCAGTTTCAGTGTGTTTTCAATCAAAACAATGAGGCAGTTCTTTTTAAACAGGGAGTTCTGCAGTGCAGAACAACAACACGTGTCTTATTTCTCTCCCCTCACTCTTGCAGTTAGAAAAAAATAAACATTTTTCTCTCTGGATGTATTTTTACGTGACAAGTGCAGTCCTACAGCAACTTTTCACTATTTTTCACATTTTACACAAAGAGGAACTCTTCCTGTTTTCCCCCAAACCAATATGTCAGCCTCCATCTACAACATGGTCACGTGACTTTGGTTTCACACGCTAACTGTAGTAAGATGGCCGCCGGTAACGATGCACATCTATGCCGGAGCATATGTCTATGTGCCGGAGACTCCGCCTTTGGGATGTCTGACTGGAATTCCCCTGCAGCTCGGGGCTTTCCGACGCAACGGATTTACCTTCTTCTGTCACGGATTGTCGAGGAGGAAGTAAACATCCGGTCCTTCAAAATAAAAACTGCTTTTCAACTTCTTGACAAACACATTTTAATTAAAAGACGATTGTAGCTAGATTTCCGCGTAGATTTGCACGTGAATATTATATTTTCACTGGTTGTCTTCTGCCTTAACATTATTCTTTGCAGAGGTTGGCAACATGTTTGTGCTAAAACTGTTGAGTTGTCTTCAAACCAAACAATATCTACTCTCCTAGACCAAGAAAAGTCACGTGATATACCTCAACGTTTGCATTTAGTTTGATTGTTGAAGTGTATGATGAGTCATCTGGGGGGGGATAAAAGCACGTCTCTGTTTTATTTTGAAAATCCTCCACCGGAAGTTCCTCCGTCTTGTTTTGGTTGGTTTGATGCTCGCTCTGTCGCAGATTTCAGACCTGTTGAAACGGGCGGACAGAGGTAAATGTTAACATTTTACTCTTTTACAAACATGACAGGAAACTAATGGACCAGATCAAACAACACATGTATTTTTATTTAACTAAACTGGACTTTTATTAGATTAAAACCCACCGGTTTCAAGTTAAAATGTTAAAAACATGTGTGATTTAAACTAGTTTTACCAAGTTAGACTGCAGCTGTTTGAGATCAGATATTACGGTCTTTATAATGTGAACAAACTGCAGTTTTAACAAACTTTATATGATGTTTTAAATGTCAATAATCTATTCTACAAATGACTGTGGACAAACTGTAAAGTGTTGTTGTTCAGGATTAAACTTTTCATATAATTTGTATGATTAAACTGGAGTTTTATCAAGATAAAATCAAGCTGTTTGAGCTGTAAAACAAAATCTGTTTCATTATTGAGATAAATTAAAGTTTGATTAAAACCAGGTGAAGCCATTTGAGATCAAACCCTGGATTTTCTGTCAGATTAAAAACTAGTTTTTAAAGTTAAAATTCATCTGTTTGTGAGGTTATTTCACTGCTTAAACTGATTAAAATTCAGCTTTTTAAGGTTTTTTATAGATGATTAAGCAGAAGTTTTGTGAAGTTAAAAACTAATGAACATTCCAAGATTTACATGCATAAACATACTTTTCATAATCCTCCTACTTGAAATAATTCAGGCTTTTACATGAGATTAAACTGCAGTTTAATCAGGACAAACCAACTGTTTGAGATTTCATAAGTCAGGCATTTTATGTGAATAAACTGGAGTAGTTAGGGTAATTTTAAGAAGAAACCCAATTTTACTTTTGAGTTTTAAACAAGTTGTGTAAAAGGGAAGTTACTGAAACATGTAACCTTTAATCTGACCTGACATCGGCTCAGTTAAAACACCAGTTTCATTAAATGCATCTAAATGATTTAAAACTAAAGGAGAGGAGTCTGGATGAATTTGAATCTGTTCTAATTTGATTAAATGTATCAGTTACAGTAACAACATATTACAGAGAATAAACAGTAAACACATTTTATAAGATAAGGATACATCAACAACACTTAAAAATATGAACTCTAAATGTGATTTGTGTTTGTACCTCAGAGCCTTTCATTCCAAACTGAACAAAACCCAGATTTAGTCAAATTCAGAAAACTGTGTTTGTGTTGCTACAATGTCACGTCCTATCTTTTTATCAGTTTTCCTTTATTTCCAGTCTTTGTGCTTAGTTACAATGAGTTCCTTCAGAATAATCAGACTGGATTAAAAGTCTTGTAACACAGATATGTTGCTTGTTGTCTGATGGAAATGCACGTTGTTGTTAAGGATCAAAGAGAGGGATGTAAATTCTCTGCTGAGCTGAGATGTGACACCACCTGACTCTGATTAACGTTGAGTTTGTTGTCCACAGGAACATCCCTGACTGGAGGGCCTACAGCGTTCAGTGTCCTCATTACCAACCAGTGTTTGTGCTGAGTCATGGCTGGAGCTCTGAGGTACGTTGCTTCTGTTTTTCAGGGTTCAGGGGTTAAAGGTCAGAGTGGAAAATAAGAACACAACACAAAACACATTCTTCATCAGGTTCAGCTCAGGAACGAGCTCATCTTCCTCCTCTCCTGCCCCCAGACAAACAGACATCCCACCCTCCTTTGACCCATAGCTTTCTGTCCAACCTCAGATGTTTTATCTTCAACCTCAGTCATGGACTCTTCTGCTTCAACAGTCTGCTCTAGTCAGAAATGGTTGTTTTCATTGTGCATTGCCAATGCAACGCACACTATAGTGATTTGTTTCCCATCCAAGTCATCTCAACTTTGGCACGCTTCTCCTCCTGCATACTTTGTCCTACAGCTGCCATTGTAATTTATATCTGTAAAGCTCCTGTGCCGAATGATGGCTATGCCTTTTGGTGCCTGTACAACTCATAGTTTTTGAAATATTAATGTTTAATAAATTCTGATGGCAGTCAATGGAGCCTTGCATTGATCCAATACTGCCCCCTACTGCATCTACACAATATGGTACTGCACCATAGTTTCATAATATTTAAAATCAGTAGTTCAATGATTACAATATTAATATGATTGTATTTTGATGTTTTACTATAATATTGTCTTAATACTGCTCTATTGTTGTAATATTATGCAGTTTAGTGTCAATAATTGTATTGGCAATGTGGCCTCTTTCTGCACACATACAAGCCAACCCCTGCCACCACCTTCTGCCACCACTCCATCAGTCTAATGGTCTATGTCATGGACTTTCATGTGGGAGATCAGGTTTCAAAACCCAGCTAAAGCAACTTTAACAAAAATCTCTTCAAACTTCATATTGTCACACAATTACCTTAATTACAAACACCTGCTCACGTGACAGGCACAAGCTGGTATAGAAAACATATTTGAACTTGGTCCCATTTCATTCTGCCAGTCCAATGCTGCAGGCAAAGCCATGCTACATGGCAATGCACACTTGTTTTTACATCGTAAAAACCCATGTCTAGTTTTCTTTTGAGTTTCCGAACACTTCAGCACAAACAAACACGCCCACAAACTTCAGACCACTCACACATTACCGTCGACACATGAGGGGGGTCAAAAGTTCTGCCGGCGGGTTGTGCCAAAAGGGGCTGTCGACACGACGCTGCGAAGCCCGGTGACGTAATTTTCGTCATTAAACTGAGACAACCCGTGCTGACGTCGGCAGTTCGGAGGGAGTATGTTTCAGGCTTAACACAATTCAGCCTGAGTTTCTTTGTCTGAAACTCCAGAAGACTCAGGTGGAGGCCTCAACAATCACCTGGATCAAAGACTACCTGGCAAACAGACCACAGTTTGTGAGACTCAAGGACTGTATGTCTAACCAGGTGGTCAGCAGCACAGGAGCACCACAGGGAACTGTACTCTCACCATTCCTGTTCACACTGTACACTTCAGACTTCCAGCACAAGTCAGACTGCTGTCATCTACAGAAATACTCAGATGACTCTGCAGTTGTTGGGTGTATCAGAGATGGACAGGAAGCTGAGTACAGAGAGCTGGTGGACCGCTTTGTGACATGGTGTGGGGACAATCATCTCATCTTGAATGTGAACAAAACAAAGGAGATGATTGTAGATTTCAGGAGAAATAGTGTTAGATCAAACCCTGTTTCCATCATGGGAGAAGAAGTGGAGGTGGTTGAGGAATATAAATACCTCGGTGTTCATCTGGACAACAGACTGGACTGGAGACTCAACAGTGAAGCAGTCTACAAGAAAGGACAGAGCAGACTGGACTTCTTGAGGGATTAACAACTATTCAACAAGAACTATCTATTGGAGCCACCAATGAGCACCACCCAGCCCCTCCAGATCCCCACCCAAAACAATCAATCTGTTCTGGTGACTTCTGGTGCATTGGTGCTTTGTGTACGTCCAAGGGTGATGTTTGCTACCGCTATGCAGTATCTTATTTATTACATTTGTTCTATTCTATTTATTTTTTATTTGTTATGATGCGTAACCATAGCAGCATGGCAGTGTTTTATAACACAGCTGATTAACATCTCAAAAGCTCAAATAACACTGGCCTCGTAACTACAGCCCCAAATCCCAGACGAGCTGAAAAGGAGGCGCAGTGGATGCAGAGCAGGAGCAAAGATGAGAGAGAAGGAGGAAGTTCAGACTTCCATTGATCATGATGGGCAAAGAAAGACTGTTGGACAACAAGTTGGACAAACTCCAAGTCCTGACAAGAACCCAGGAATATTATCAGGAATGCAGTTTTATGTGTTTCTCTGAGACATGGCTGCAGGATCATGTCCCTGACTCCAGCATATTCCTGCCAGGATTTCTGACCATAAGATGGACACCCTGAGCATCCTCTTCATCAGAACGTCTTCAGTCAGGGCTTCATCAGACCTGCTGTAAGACGGACGATTCTTCATGCCCAGGTTAGGGGTTAGGAGGTTCTTCTTCCATGAAGCAGCTCTGTTGTCCTCCATCCATATTTTCAGTTCCAGGCTGAGTCATTTCTACCTTGTCCTCTCTGTCAACGCTCTCTGGTTTCATTTAAAAGAGTCGATCATCAGATATTGTCCAAGATTTCTGCCTGAAACATACTCGCTCCGACGCCGACGGGTCGACGCGTGGTCACGTGGTTGATCAGCAGTCGTTTTCGCACAGACCTTTCATAGTCCCTGAGACACACCGCACCGAGTTCGGGAAACCCCCCTCCCTGAACCATACGTCACTGCATGGAGTTTCTCCTCGCAACAGTTGAGAATGCAGAAAAAAAAAGACTCATCACTCACCCGACGTATTTATCCACATCTGTCCTGATTAAAGCTCCACAGTTTTTATCAGTCAGATTCCTCCGTGCACAACGTCTGTTTTATCTCCGTTCATGAGTTTTTCACGGTTTGACTATCTTTATAAAACTCTACTTCCTGGTGTCGGCTCTGGGAGCGAGTCGGGTTTTTTTCCCCATTTTCTTTTTTTTTTTACCGAGTGCAGCAGCGCTTTCAGCACAAACAACAAGCCATAAGTTTTTCACGGTTTGACTATCTTATAAACCTCTGCTTTCTAGTCTGGGAGCGAGTCGTTCTTTTTTCTCTTCCCCCACCCGAGCGCAGCACAAACAAACACGCCCACGAACTTCAGACCAATCACACATTACCGTCGACACGGGAAGGGGGTCAAAAAGTTCTGCTCTGCAGATATTACACAGGTTTCTCTTTCATTTTCTTAAAATGATCCCACACTTTGAGCTCTGTTGTCAGGTAGCCATGATACCAGAGCCTGTCTGTATAATGTCTTTTGACGTCCACGGCCTACCCCAGTT